GCCTAATTGCCTCAGGAAATACATTAATCAAAGGCTCCCAGAGGCCTAAGAACCATTTGCTCCAATTCACTGAGGCAGAGTAGCGATAAAGACCTGAGTAATACAAGGAGCTACATATGTCCTTGAGACAAAATAATTACATGAGAAATAGGAAAGGATACCTAACTAAAAGCTCTTAAACAAATTCCTTGAGCAGCTTACTGACATGACTCTCGGGAGAGATCAAATAAGAAAAAATAGTACTCTGACCATGAAACCAGCAACAGACATCAGAGAATTTCATGAATTGTGCTGTCCAAACTGACATACAGAAGGTGGCATCAAGAGCAGCATCTCCGTGGTGTGTCCCAGATCATGCAGAGAGCAGATCAGGCCAGCATGAAGACACGATCAGTCTACACAAGGGCTCTGGCGACAGCATAACCTGAAAAGCCCGCGACCAGAGGCAGAGGAAGCGTGTGCTGAAGAACTGAAGAGGAGGTGGGTCACTTGATGCATATATAAGGCTTCCTCCCATCGGCACATCAGCCTGGGGTCCTCGGATTCTGCTGGAGGCAGAGCTCATGCCCAGCCAGCCCAGTGCTGCGGAGGGGGGGCACTGGGGAAGTTTGCTGGAGGTGCAATAACAAGCCCCGCACCCAGCTTCTCACGCCCCACTCTCACGCACGCATCCTCCACCGTCTACTTCCACTCCTGCTACACGTGACCGAAGCAGAAGCACTCGTGCCTTACACGGTTTGCTCAGCAGTCGCTTTAACCCACGATGCATTTCCTAACCCTCCTTCTCTTGCATTACATAAGCTTTCTAGGGCTGATGTGCAGTTGCTAAGCAGTAATTTTGCGTGACTAAAAAAGAAATACATGATTGCTAGGTTCACTAAATGTTTTTTTCCCTTATTGCAATATAATTATAGCTATAACAAAAACATTGCAGAACATTCATCGGCATGCAAAAATTAGGTCAGGAACAGAGCAAGTATATCATATATGCCTTTTAGAAGCCTTTACTTCTTCCTTTGCCATTGCGGGGGGAAGGGCAGGAAAGCTTGGTGTTGCATAAAATCATAGACAACAGGTTTTTCCATCCTGTCGGCTAATCTGGCATAAACAGAAGTTTGCATTCTTGTGTCAGAAGGCAGCTTGCTTCCCTCATCGCAGAGATCTCCTAAAGCCTCGTCGCAGGCTCCCTGCGTACAGCCTCCGCATGCAGTGTTTTTCCCTCTGCCCCACAGTCGGAAACGGGGACGGTGAAGCCTCCCTCCGGCAGGGAGCTGGAGGCAGACGCGGCCCCCATCCAGGGAAGGAGCCCTGCACCCAGGCCAGGGACACAGGGGACACACACGCGTGCTGCTTTCCCGAGGGGCGTCCCGCAGGACACGCGTAGCGGGTCCAACGCGCCGCGCACGTGCCGGGCTGCCGCGCGTCGCTGCGGATCTGCTGGGAAGGAGGCCTGCACCAAGGACATGTGGGACAGCTTTTGCACCGAGTTACAGAGGCCTGGCCTAGCTGGTAAGAGGTCAAGTAACGCTGTGCTAAACTGCTGGGCTAATTCACTGCTGGGACGTTTTCCTGAAATTGCCACGAGACTTTTTCCCTTTTCATCCTAAGGCTCCTAATTACACCCCTAAGCACTATCCTAAATAGCTCTTTTCCCCAATAGTTCTGATGACATTAAATTTTTGCTAGACATACATTTTTAACAGCTATTCACTGCCTCCATAATCTTTTAATGATTTTGCTTTCCTTTATCCTTGTTGAAGGCTTGCTTTCCCTCATGCTCTATGCAAGTTCCTTGACTGCTACCAACTCATACTTCTTGCCAGTGCGCCTCATTTCTTCCGTAGAAGCCAGAGGAAGAAGTTTTTCTCAGTTTAATCCCTTCTTTCCCATGTTTTTGGCTGTGGCCAATTGCCTCTTGGTAAGATGTTGCCAGTGCGGCAGCTCCCGTGTCTCTGCCCAGCCCCACGCTGTGCTGTAGACAGGTACCCTGCGGCACTGGAGACAGTAAGGTCAAGGCCCGAACTAGAGGTAGCACGCATTCGTCATGGAAATCAATTTGTTTAGAGAACAAATCAACTTAGTGATAACCTTTACTTCCTATAGACCGAGGTTATTTATTATATTGCCATTTAACTAATACAAATACTAAAAATACTAGTTTTCTGCGCTTAATTAAGGATTTGAATAAATTAAACTTAAATCACATAATTGCTTATGTGCTCATGCAAAGTATCTTCCTGGTTAGCAAAAAGAAGTATGAAATTCACTGCAAAGACATTTATTTCTGCACTACCTGCTTTAATGGTTATCACTCGGGGAAGATGAGAGTTTCATTAGGATAGTAACAACAATGAGATTAAAAATGGGGGCTTTGCCTACACACTAAATGAAAAATCACAATTAAATTAAAGAGACTAAAAAAAATAGTCACTGGATACAGATTCCAGGGATTCAGAGTCAAGCAAGTACTTCACTGACCATTGGGGTCCTCCATCCCACGTTCCTGTCCCTAATGCAACACACAACCTATATATTTGAACCTGAGAGACATGTGCTCGGGGGAAGCAGTTTTGTCCCACGTAGGCTGAGCAGCATGGTTAGCAGACACCGTCAGCCTTAATTGTTTGAATATTGAGATTATTTGGTGTTAAACATATTCTGACGCTTTATCATCTCTTGGTATGCCGTTTCCTTCATATTTCATCAGAATGTGAGATTCAGGGAAAATAAAGTGTGCTTATTACGGCAGGGACTCAGCTGCCTGACCTCTAAGCTCCTGTGCCTACTAGCTGCCCTAACTACTCACTAGGGAGCTTTTAGGGGAGGGGGCGTACAGGCATTAAGGAAAGTTATGTTTCTTAAGCTGGGTTTTTGGGGGGGTTGGGGATTTTTCTTGTTGTTTGTTTGCTTGTTTGTGGGTTGTTTGGTTGGTTGTTTTTTTAAGTTGGTCAGCAAACTGACTGCTCTTCTCCCAGCAGTGGGTTTCTGTCTAGGTTTTCTCCTTTCCTGTCCCATGATTATAATCACCTGTTAAATTCTGCTGGAAAAAAGGCATTTCGAGCTGGAGACCGGCACTTGGTAGTAGCTAACAAACCTTGTTTGCCCTGCATGCATTGGAGAAATTGACTATACCCAGAGCAAATCTAGGCTTGCCGGTTTGGGTGGTTTTGCTCTGACTCTGATCCAGCTTTGCACCTCTCAGTGGCCATTGCTACTTCTAAATGCAGTTGAAAGCATCTGTAAAGCGAGGGGAGCAGACGTTAGTGTCAGCAGCACCCATCTGCTGCTGCAGCAAGACGGAGGAGCTGGGTATTCACACAAGAAGAAAATGAAATTATCCTAATTACTCCTATTTACTACATGCTTCCTGCTATATGCTTTAGAAGTGGGACTTCAACTACCTAACTCAGGTTTGCTTGCGCAGCAACGGGGAACAGCAGACACCTTTTGCTCAGGTAAGCGGAGGGCTCCTCAGGCTCACCGGGGCTGCCAAAGGACACAGGGTGCCACCACCACAGCCAGAGCTGCTGAGGCAGAGCCATGCCCTTCTCTGGCCGTGCCCTCTATCAGCTGCTGCTGGGTGCTTTGAGAAAAGGACGCTTTTGCCACGGCTGGCTGTGGTGGCATCAGGTTTAGGGACAAGCACGTAACAAGTAATGCAAACACTGCAGTGCAACAAGCGGGTCAAACATGTGCGTGCAAAACCTTGCCAGCATTATTGAGAAAAAAATCCTATCTCCTGACCCCAGACCTGATGACGAAGAGCTGAGCGCTGATGGCAGCAACAGGACATTGCAAAAGCCCAGCCAGAGCCACTGCAAGGTACCCTGGAAGGGAAGGGAGGAGTGGTGGATGGTCCAAGGACTGGGATACACAGGGCCATTAGGCAACACAGGACTGATAAAGTGCATCGCATGCTGTCAAGGCAGTGGGGGGAAATGCAGTATGTTTAGGAGTTGGCTTGGAACAAGGTAGCGGTGAACATATGTGGCTGCTGGAGAGTGCAAGGCAGATGTGACTGGGAAGCATATGGGCCATTGCTCTGGGGCTGGGGGGGGCAAGGCTGTGGTCAGAGACATACAGTTTTCCAGCTGTGTCAGTTCATTGGGATAAATAAAGTGATAATGTGCACTAATTAATACAGGAGTTATAGCAGCAAGTCACTTTTAGTACTACAGAATACTTAAAAAAAACCAAAACCCAAACCAAAAAACCTTTTGATTCTCTCAAAACCTCCCCCCACTCTACCTCTCCAGCAGCCCCCCAGCCCAGAGCAGCGCTCCCCATGTGCTTACCAGTGTGCATCCCCAGCTTCACCTTTTCCTTCCTAGGATCCTTCATTCCCCACTTCCTGGGGAGCTGTAGGAGAGCTCCCTTCTCCCCTCCCCTCTCCTGGCCAGGCATGTAAGGGAAGGGGTGGGATACAGGGAGGCACCTTATTGCTGACAGGAAGGGAGCACAGCTGGTTGCAATTGCTAGGGCATTATTCCTCCTCCTCCGGATGGTGTTTGCAGGGCAGGCTGAAGCGCTTGCACCACAGCTGAACACTTTAAGCACAACGCAAGTGTTCTGGGACATATTTGCATTTGAAATTCAGTGGTGTATCCATCTACTCTGGGCAGCTACAACCATGTAATGGTAAACTGCAATTCCAGTTTGTATACAGGTTAATTACAACTATATATATATAAAATACGTAGTAGTAGATGGCTTGACAATACTTTTTTGGTTTGTTTAAGAGTTCTGAAGCATTCTTGAGAGGCACCTCGGACAATGAAGAAAGAAATTTTCAAAGTAAAAAGGAATTTGTGGGAGCCTTAGTTCAGGCTGTGTCGGGCTCCAAAGTATTTAGATCAGAACGGTCTTGTCAAAACCAGTAAAACTCTAACTCACTTCTTTTAAGTCAGAGGTTGTTCAAGGTTAAAGTGCCAACATAAAAAATGAAATGAACAGTATTTTTGAAATATGTTCATTAAGTAAAAATAAATAGCTTAGTGTTAAGAGTTCTAAAAGCAAAATTTAATAAATTAATATATGCATGCCAGATAAAAATACAAAATTACAATTGAAATAGCAATAATAATAAAGGAACACTGCTCAGCATTGCAGATTTCACTGCAACCACCATAAACATCATGGAGAATTACTTAAAGTAACATTTAAAGTACACATTTTGTTTCTGTTAAAAACAAATTACTATATGATGAAAAAACTGAAAGAAACCCAAGAAGAAATCAGCCCCCAGAGTGGCAGAGAATGATATGAAATGTCAATAAACTGCCAGAGGCTCCATTTCACATAAGTCGGCCTTCTTTTTAGTATCAGAAACCAATTACATAGAACATAAAAGCAAATTCACAACAGGTTTACACGGAGAAACATGCTGAATTACAATCACAAACTATCCAGAACAAAGATGCTGCACCAGTTCAGTTGTTTTCTTCATGGAATGAGTCTCACCAGAACAGGGAGAATAGGGAGCAAATCATGCAATAACTTTAGGCTTTTTGTTTTTTATTTTAACATGATAAACACCCAGGATTACTAGTACTGGAAAGTATGTGTTAACCTTTTTCAACATCAGCTGAATGGCACTACAGAAACGACAAAGAGTTCCTTCATTTTTATCCTGAATACATCGAAAGCTCTAGCAAATATGGAATTCAGCGACAAGAGCCATTAAATTACTTCAAAATATTCCTTCATCCATAGAACACTGTTGCTTCCTTTTTTATTACAAACCCCCCAAAATATTCAAAATAAAATGTCTTCATTTTTTATAAGCATCTCCACCACAAGTCTCTGATAACGGATGTCATTCAATGCAGCCATCGCATCCAGTTCTGGCGCTCTCATAAGAGTTGGTCCAAAAACTATGCCCAGATTCTCTGCACTCATCAGATTTTCCTTTTCATGGAGCGTCACTCTGCAAAAAAAGGACAGTATTTTTCACATTCCTCCCATGCCAAACTATGCCTGCATATGCTTGAAAACCAGGGAAACTGGACAGAAAAGTTTGCCCTTCCCCAAAGCCGTTTCCAGCAGGATACGTATGGAAGTGTCGGGTGAAACACTCAGAAGTTAGTGAGTGCAAACACTGCACGGGTTTACCGCGAGTCAGAGGTCTCTGTCCTCCGACCGTGTTTACTTGTAGGAGGAGTCGGGGCTCCGCTGTCAGGGAGGGAGGGGGCCGAGGGGTGAATTCAGACAAATCAGAACAATTTTGCTTTCGCTCTTTACAGCGGCACCATTTGGAGGCGGCTCCTATGGGAGCAGACTGTGTTTGTCACTATGCTAGCAGTTTGATGGTCACTAGAGAGGTGCTATCGTGCCCACCAGGGTGGGACTCTGCCCAGGTTCCCCTGGTGACATGGCTGCCCGTGGTCACACTGCTCCTCTGTCACGCACACGACGGCAGTGGGGGTGAGGCACATCACACGTGAATTGCCTGCCTTTGGGCACTACAGGCTAACTGTGCTAAGCTGGACGCCTGGTTCCTCTTCAAGGCAAATTACGTCCCGTGGCACGTACTGGAAAAAAGTGAATCACCCCTTTGGGGCGGCTTTGAAACTGCCAGGGCCTCTCTCCCTGTGACCTCATTTGCAGGGCAGTCTGAGCAGGTCCTTGAACCCGTGCTCTGACAGGCCCGCTTCCACCCTTCCCTCTTCTGGGGTCCTCGGCAGCTGCCAAACAGCCGAGCCCCCAGCTGAGGGAAGCCTCCCGCCGCCTGGTTCCCATCCGCAGGAGAGGAGGAGGCGGGGAGGCCGCGTTGCCGCTCCACAGGAACCCAACCGCTTCAAAGCTATTGGCGCAGGCCCTGCCGCCGCGCAGGTTTGCAGGCCACCTCCAGCGACGTAATTTGCCCAAGAATTACACCCACAGGAGAGGCATCCTCTGCTGGGGCTACTGCGGAGACACGTCTGCTCAGCAAAGGCCAGAAGGGTCACTGCTGCCCAAACGTGACGGTCTCCGGCGTCGTGGGATGGTATTTCTTCATGTGGGCTCAGAGGCGGCTTGTGTTCTCCTGCACTGCTCTGCCTCAGCACGGAGAACGCAGGGTCCCCCACGGCGGGGGGGAGGAGGACAGCCTGCCTGGGGTACCCTGACACCGAGCGCGCCCATCGCTGCTGCCCACTGCAACAGACGCAGTAGACACAAACGTGCCTTGAAGCCGAAGCTTCTGCCTTGGTTTATCCTGGGGAATTGCCTCACTCAAGGAAACAAACTTAGGTTATGCAAATGTTTTAACACACACTATGGTTTAAAGAATCCATAAGGATTCTCAGGAACAACTAAGAAGCCAGGGACACCAACTGAAGGAGTCTGGCTAAATTATTTCTCTTTTCTCCACTCTGGCATCTTGCATTGCATGAACAAATCCTTTGGCATACAAAAAAAAAAAAAAAGCAAGAATTTTCTTCCTTTTGTCCCCTTCTGCCTTAGTTTTTATTTTAAAAGAAGTCAGATCGATATTTCCAAGCTGCTGTATCTTCAGTCTGTAATTAGGAGCTGTGTCTGATTACCTGAATTCAGCAGCAAGACAACAGCCTGTTGAGTGCCACAGGTCTTTTTAGCAAATGTATTAAAAGGAAGTTTAAAAAAGAGTGAATTTTGTCACCTTTCTACCTTATCATTCACCTATACCAGAAATACGAAGTGCAAAAGCAACTCGCTAACTAGAGCAGCAACAGCTACTCTCGAACAGGGTAAGGGAAAATTAACTTCACACTTCACAAGCAGGAAGGTGGGTTTTTTTTGTTCCTGCGTCTCTCATCCCTGTGTCTGTTCTAAAACATCCATTAGAAATGTCATGGAAATAAATGGACAAATCAGGCAGAAACCCTGTAGCTGAATTTTGCCTGAGGCACTCAGCAGAGTCAATGTATTCCTACTTGTAGAAGAACTATAAAAGGAAAAAAGCAGAAGAGAGCTTAAAATAAAGTATTTTTCTAAGGAAAGGGAATGATTCTTATATATTGACAATAAATTCATGTTACTTGAGAAACTAAAATGGATACCCTAACATGTCACATTGATTTTTCCCCCTGCTTTCCTGAAAGAAATAGAACCTCTGCTGTTGTACTGGATATTCATCTGTCAGTCTCTCCCTAACAATTTTTCAGCCTACTGAGCAACTTCAATCATGTCTCAGGGAGCAGGAGAAACCTCAGACAGAATTTATGCTCCTACAGTTTTGAGGAGGCAGCAGGTAGAACAAGGGGCTCCACGCTGGTGAGGAATAGCTGGCAGACCTCACCAGACGTGTGGCTGGAGGGCCAATTAACACTGTGCCTAATCGGCGTCAGCTCCAGCCTAGTGTGTGTGGTCTTTCTTAGGGTGTCAGTAGACGAGACTTAGCAGAAAAAGACACCAGTCTATAGCCATTAAGCTGTATTAGTTCCCTGCCCAGGGAGTGACTTATTACTCCCAGAGGTACAAATGGCATTTTTACCATAAATATTCACTGTAACGTTAAATATAGAGCAAATTTGCTAGGCAGATGACTTTTGTGCTTCAGAACTGTGGGGTTTTTTACTTATTTCCTTTAAGTGCTTTGCAAGTGCTTTAAGTGGAATAAACTCCAATACCCTTTTTTGGGTATTTGCTGTTATGCAGACTATCATCCCCTGCCACAGTCTGTCTCCAGGATTTGGTGGGCCTTGCCCAGACTTTTCTGGAGGTCCTAACATGGACTTTGCTAAAAATGAGTTTGGCTTAGAGTTCCTTCCAGCTAGTCCACCCACCTCTTCAGATGTGCCATGAGATACCGTAACGTTTCACAGTGTGCAGGCGGCAGCAGTTTCAGTGCCTCATGGAGAATTTCCAGCTGTTCATCCGGATCGGTGGTTTCTGAAACACAGATGTTCAGCTGTCACCACACGCACAGCCAGAATTCACACACAGAAAGACAACACCGGTGGCCTGCAGAGAAGATAGGGTCTCACAGCTCTGCTGGATTACCGATTTCCAGAACCTATCCAAACCTCACAGTGGTGGCTTTGCCTGTCCAAAGAGGAGCTCAGAGCACCATCAGGATGTGCCTGGCTTTGGACAAAGAAAACTCCCCAAAGCAAACTGCACTCCACTGAAAGATTCCCTGCAGCCTACTCAAGAAAATTCCCCTGGCAACCCTTGCTGACTGGACTAGTTTTGCACAAATTATCTACAGGTGCAACCCTGGGACAGCAGAAGGTACTGGGAACTTTGCCATCAGCATCTTTGGCTGTCTCCACACTGCTTGGAAAGATCCTTCTCCAGAGGAGCAGTAAGGCCGGCATCCAGCCCTTGTTTTCTACCCATGGCTACCTCACACCTTTCCAGGTGTGGCTGGTGTGACTGCTACGTTGCAGAGATGTCTCAGGCAGCCAGGGTGCTTGGGAGAGATGTTCCAGCTGGGCTTACTGCCCTGCTTGCAGACTCACTGTCTGCAAGGCCAGCCTTAAAGGTGGGTGCTTATCAGCTGATGAAAACACTCAAAACGGACACCTCTAGAACAAGTGACTTCTTATTTCTTATTTCTAAACGTTTTCATAGATCACCTTTCTGGCAACAGAAAACCAACAGATTTTAAATGTCACTGTCAAGTATGAGGGATTCATGCAAGACATACAAAGTGATGTAATCCATAATGCGTGATGAAAAGGAAGCATTCCTGGTGACAAAGGCAAAGAAAAATGTAACCATGATCACATACACTATGGCCTCGTGGTGCTACATTTACTCCTGCAATCTTTACTAAATAGGGCATGCAGGGTAAGAGCTGATGGGCCAGCTATTAAATGAATAGGCAAGTACTGCACAAAAAGGAGAAGAAAAGGTTGAGAATAAAAACCAGGAAGAAAATGTGTTACACTCACTTGCAGACTCTATAAACTTTGGGTAGGCATCATACGTGATGAGTGGAATTGGCAAATCCCTGAAGTACAGTTTAAGTGCACCAGTGATAATATTGATATCTTCATACATATTCACTGAAATATCAGCTTTTTCCCCATCTGTGTGGAGAAGGCACTGACATTAAAGCCTTGGAAATGTAAACAGATGTAAAACAGCATTCGAAAGAAAAATAATAACTTGCTTAAGCAAACATTATTAAAAAGGACACAACTACAGATTTTGGCTTTTATAAGCAAAACAGAGTTACTGGGCTGTGAAGTTCATTGTTTCAGGGTGGAAACCTCAAGCATTTTAGAAAGAAACCTATCCTTTCTTCATTTCAAATGATTACAAAAAATGCAGGGTTTTTTTCTGGGAAAAAAACCCGCCTGCCTGATCTAGCAGTATCTATCTTGTATTAACGTGTGGAAGTTTAGTTATTTCTGAACACATTGTGTTGCCAAACAACACATTTGTGAGCACTGAATGAGAAATCAGGGGAGTCTGGGAAAAAAAGTAAAAGAAAGAAAACCAACTTAGTCCACAGCCTTCCTGAACACAGGAAAAACATGTGTTCACCATTTAGCTACAGCATACTACCTACTCCTCACTGCAGTAGACACAGATCCAGAACTTGGCTTCTCCAGTGCATCTCCACCCTGCTAATGCTGCAGAGGAGGCAGATGTTGTCTGAATAGGTCCAGTCCTCCAGAGAAACAGGAGAGAGAGTTTCCAGCATGGATTTTGGCCTTGATTTCTACTGGGATAGGGGGACGGCAGCTGGAAAGCCTTTAATTTTCCCACTGCCTTTTCTCAGAGAGAAGGGTTTGTTCTCACTGACCTTCTTTTGGACTGTAATAATTCAAACTTTGTTTGCACTATTGTATTCATCTTATTATTTTGGAGCTTTCATCCAGAAAGATGGATTTAAGTTGCAGAGCCCTCTTAAGGCACTTGACCACTTGCCCTCTATCCCTCCCCCTCCCCCTAAGTGTAGTTTTACTTGCAAACTAGGGCAGTAGTTCAGAAAGCTTTGTCCTTTCCTATGCACATCATTACTGAAGCCCAGATACTGATGGAAGGAGAAAAGTAGACTTTGGTAATGAAGGCCAAAGTGAAGCTGATATGCTTTTCTGATGGGGAGACTCCCCTTCTGGTAGCACAGCCGCTGGACTCCTTCAGACCACTGATGCAGTGGAGCATGAGACAGACAGAGTCTGTGCAGAAAAACTGTTTATATTTAATACATCAGCACAAAATGCCAGCACGCAGGAAAGACTGTACCTCTGTCAAACGCCATTTTGACATCTTCGATAAGATCACTAAATCCTGAGACTCTGTATAGTCCTTCGGAATTAAGACCTGCAATGAGTATTTTAACAAGATTAAAATTAGCCTTAATTTTACAGCTTCCTTCCATCCAGTTCTTCCTTTGCCAGGTTCTTCATTTAAGGCAGAAAAAGCAGACACGTTTTAAAAGCCTTATCAGGCTTTTCTTTCAGAATGAAATCCTATACTGGCCTTTTAACCCTGACCCTTGCATTAGCTGCCTTGTTATAATAGCACTAAATTATGTCAGAGCTGAAGAAACATATTAAACCAATTACAACCGATTAAAAAATAACTGAGATTAGCATACTTGATGTTCAGTCATTATTTCAGAATGAAAACAAATACTCTGATTCTAGAAAAGGATACTCAGTGTGGGCTAGGGGAACTAGCAAGAGGGAACACATCAACAGTAACTGACTTTGTTTTAGCACATTCACTTAATTTTTAAAATAAAAATATTACTGGAAAGATAGGTGCCAATATAGAACTATAAAGCAGTAATTGTCCATTAAGCAACTTCTAGCAGAATCTATAAAAATTATAAATGGGTATGAACCATGGAATAATGCAAGGTATAATATTAGCTGTGCAGGGTAATTGGCAGTCATAAAATGTCTTGTGCAAATCTGTTTTGAGCAATCATACATTCAGCAGAAACCCAGATGACCCAGATCAATCTAAACGGATTATCAGTAAAGCAACAAAAGTCCATTAACTATGCCTTACCCCTAGATTCAATTTCCCTAATGCACATATCTACTACCATTGGTCTCTTAGTGAAGTGTGCTTTTACTAGCGTTGTAAGGTCACAGCTGTACACTTTTTTGACATGCTTCAGGTCTGGCTTGCAGTCATTTGGGACCATCTTGGAACATTGCTTGTGCACATTTAAACCACAATCTGAGAGAAAAAGGAAAAATTGATTAGGCTGGTGTTCGGTGAAAATGCATCCCGAGGTCAGTACTGTGGAGTACGTACGGCTCCTGCAGGATCTGACCTGATCTCGCAACTACTACTTCTGTTGAGACCCCTTAACCATCAAATGCGAGGTAGGGACAGACCTGAAGACAGACAGATTTTCTACCCAAGACATTTCTTCTATCCCTAGAGGAGCTAACACAAAAAGTGACAAACTTTCTATACGTTTTTTCAAATCAGGATCTACGGGCCAGTTACGTTCCCCACCATTATTACATACGTTGCTATCATGATCTAAACTTTCTTCTCAAGTTGCTGCGGATTTCCTAACACTTACAGCTTTAATGTAGTCCTGGACTGTGGTACTTAAGACACCTCCTGGGGGAGACGAAGGCAGGGACTGGGTCTCGGAAGGCTACAACCCCTCTGCAGCACATGTTGGCAAGGCAGGCCCGAGATCTGACCCACTTCAGGGACCCCCATGCTCTTGCCAGGTGCGGCAGCCCATGCTTAGCATTGCTAGTAACAGGGCCCATTCCCCACCTTGGAGGGGAGCTGAAAAACAGGCACAGGGGTCACCAAGCTGGCTGGTGCTTTCTTGCTGCCAAGCAGTTTACAAAGGACTTTGCTAAGTCACAGCAGCTGCAATTCTGATGCCGTTTCACAGCGTGTTTCTGAAACAAAGTGTTGGCAAGCACCAAAACAATGCTATTTACTTTGAAAATGACTTGGGAAAAATTTGTTCTGTTTTTTTTTAAACATAAACAAACAACACCACAGCTTTATTGTAAACATACTGAGAAGGAGATAGATTTAGTTTAAGTGAAACTTAATTGAAATCAGGTTATAGAAAAATGTTTGTTCTGCCTCAAAATGACTCAAAACATAAAGCTCGGGGTGTGGGGAGGAAAAATCATGGAAAACACCACCAACTATACAGTGAAGATGGGAAGAACAATACAGTCCCCTTTAAGCTAAGCGCACACTGCGATCAACACTACCAGGCAGCAGGCCCGTGTAAGGAGCAGCCTCCCGCACTGCTCCCAGTGACTCCATTTTCACCGCCCTTTCTCCTGTTCTGCCACGCAGACTCACAGGTGCTTGAGAGGAAACAGCAACCAGCAAGAAAGGCGGCACTCCGCAGTCAGGGCGTTTGCCATGCTCTGACATGCACTCGGTATACACCGAGACTCCAGTTCTGCGAGCGTTTCTGTACCTCGCTGCATTGCCATTTGGAGTCCCCTGGATTTCTGCAGAATTAAGGGACGTAGGAGCTCGAAGGATCAATGCCTTGATGAAAATCTGTACTTACCCTTCCCACTGCAGTACTGAGTATCTGTCTATACAGATTCCCTTCGTATTTCCTTCCTGCTGTTTTTGCCAATGCTTGTATTTTCATTAATGCTATATAGATTATTTGACTTTGTTCTTTCCAAACCAGTAAAGCCTAGAATTCATTGCTAAGTTTTATTTCCACTAAGTCAGCTGCAGCCTGCCACTAAAAGCACTTTGTTTACTTAACAGGCCTGTAAAGCAACCAGCTTTGACACTTAGGATCCTCTGTAAAACATTCAATCTCTGGTTGCAATTAAAGTTCAGCATGTCACCTTCAATCAGTCAAAACTCGCACAGATCCCGATCCGGGTGAAATGGCCAATTAAAATTCTCTTTAGCTATTTCTGTGCAGGAGCAACTCCCTTCCTTGCGAGGAGCGGTTAACACACAAGACAGGGAGCTGGGAATGTTGAATTTCCCGCCTGGTTGTGATTTAGTGTTGCGAACCCCACCTTGGGCAAAGCCATGCAGGCCAATACCCTGCAAACAAGCAGCACGACCGGGGGTACCACGGGGGCCCACCCTGGTCAGCCTCAGTGGCTTGCTTTGACCCGCAGCCCTCTTCTGGGCTCACCCCAGAAGCTGCACGTCACAGCTGGTTGTCCTGGAGCCCTGGGCGGTGGCAGGCTCAACCACTGTCCCTCCAGGCGTGCAGAAGTTCAGTCTGGTCACTTGGGTTCCTTCAGTGTTTGCTCAGTTGCCTCATTCGTGACAGAGAGGAAATAGTAACAGCCAAAGCACTTGCTCTCACCCGAGCACTTAATTAAATCCCACATTTAATCAAGTGGTCTAAGACCCCAGGTTGGAAGGTGCATGACCACACCACCTCTTCATGCACAGCATCTACCCTGCCTGTGGTTCTGGGCTGTGGAAGGAAGAAACTCTGAGCATGCCAGCCAGCGCAGGCAAGGGGCGCTCCACCTACACTCTAAATGTCTATGCCCAGTGCTACATTTTGTCTGAAGTTTGAAAAACCAGGTCCCTCTGTGCTTTAAATTAGGAACCCAAATTCATTAGATACATGCGACCTGAACCCTTTAGTGCCTCAGTGCTTCAACTCTAACATGGGAAGAAGCAGCTCTGGGTCTTGTAGAGACAAATTCATCACATGTTTGCAGAAATGCAGAGGAAAAATTACTCGTCTTCGGTGTGAAGTCTGAATACTGTGCTGTTAGTAAGACCAGCACTTTTAATAACAAGAAGACAAAATATGGAATAGGTGCTACTAAGCAAGTACCATCCATTCTGCTTTCAGAATAAAGATGAAGTTGTGCAGTAAAAATAATAAGTAGTCAAATAATTAGAGGCAACATCTTAATGCACACACAGAAGGGAAGCAAACTAAGACCACATAGGAAATCTTAATTCTTGATTTCCTTTATTTTGAAACCTTAACATTGCAATAATAGTATTTACAAATGCAAATATAATTACTATACACAGAATTCCTAAAATTGCTGCAAGAAGCACCTATTCCAACATGCAGGAAATGCCCTAGTATGTCTGTCAAAAATGATGTCTACAAGGCTGGAATGGCAGCATCTCACTCATGAAGACTCACAAGCAATTTCGTGAGTGCAAATTAGCTGCTTCACACAGACAGCAATATATCTCAGAGTTATGTTTCTGGGAATCCAAGGATAATTAAAATATATAAAAAAAAAAGGAAAAACATGCTTCCAAGTACCTTATACTGGACTTAAAATAATTATCGCATTCACTGAGATCATCCTAATTATATTTATATATAAGGAAGTTTCATTTCATTAAAATATCTAACTTACAGAGATGTTTTCAATGTGAAAACCTTGCTTCTGAAAATAACTGTGTTATTGCTAATCCCATAGATTCAAACAGGCTTTGGATCTGACCTCATTAATACCAGAATAATAATTACAAATGCAAAAGTTAACTTTTCTCCTCTCTCGTTTGTTCTTCCTTTGCATTTGATTAGATTTCATGTATCAGCCCCACTGCTCAAGGGCTTACAAACACTCCTGAGAAACATTTAAAACCTAGAAATATTTCAGATACTTAATGCTTAGAAAATGCATGAGCACTACATTCAATATTATTGGGCTGTGCGGTATCCTAATAATCAAGGCTCTTTGCCTCTTGTGTAAGCGTAGGAGACCACCTTACTTTAGCAATTCCACATCAATAAATACTTCTAGGAGATTCCAGTGAATTTGCAACAGAAAAATTGTATTTTTTTCCAACAAAGATGCTGAAACTCCCCAATGCTATGCTTCCTACCAGGTGGGCCCCTCTCCACAGCTAACAATACTTCATGAAAGGCAGAAGAGCCATGTCTCCGTCACTAGTCTCTGGTTCAGTTGATAACTTAGGATGAAGGATGATGTCTTGTTAACTCCAACAAGGTAAAAAGCACAATGGCAGGAGGACATCAGTCCTCCTCTCCACAGACCACTGGGAATGTGCCAGCCTTTTAGTCTAACTATACTCGGCTTACTTGTTAGTACTAAAAGATAGGAATTATGCTGCAAATTGCGTATTATTAAATAAAAATGTCCTCTGTTCTCATTGCAGATGCTTCATGAAAGCTTCGAAACCCATTATTTTAGAATCAACTAGGAAGAAACAAGAAAGCCGAGTCTGGAATCTCTCTGTGCTGCCACGTGGTGAAGTCTCAGGACTTCTTGCCTTGTTTGCACATGAGCTTCATGATTTGGCTGGGTACGTGAAGACCAAGAGGATTCATTTGATTTCAGATTTTGGGTCTATTTACTTTTGTTTATATCAAAATAAATCCAGAATAGCTAAGATGGCGTTAGCAGCTTTACTCCGGATCTAAAGTAACCAGGAGCCTTATCCATTTCTTACAGAAGTTCATCAGAGCCTACCTGCTGGCTGGCTATACAAATTGGTGAGAAGCTGAAGAAAAATCCCCCTAAAGCACTGTATCTGCTGATAAATCCTATAATAATATGGGACAGATTTAAAAGATGCAGTTGTGAACCCTGGCAGGTCAATAGGAAAACTTCTGCTGACTTCAGTCAATCAGAATTTCACCTTATACAGAGATGATTTCTCACGCTTACTATTCCTTTTTACAGTGCTATCAAACTGTGGCCACCTTTCAAATATACCAAATGTGCCCCCAAAAAATGCAGTCATAAATTCAAGAGTTTATAGGAAGTTTGGAAATTTAGGGGGGAAAAAAAAAGAAGACTAATTTTACATGACAGGTTTAAAAGTCTGTGATAAGCTGCCCTGACTTTAATAGCATATTGATCTAGGAGTTCAGGTGGGCTGTGACATTACTTCTATGAGAGATATTAAATTTAAAACTAGCCGGACAATACTTTCCTATGATGCCTAGAAAAAGGTTTGGTAATGTTTTAGAAACAGCTAATACTGATGTTAGTTCACTGGGCTGAAAGAACAAATAACATCTTCATATTAATGCATGAGCAGAGCCAAAAGATATACGTACGTTAATACCACCCCATGAGCACACATTATAAATATTTGCAGAGACTAAAATATACTTAGCTGCCGCTTTTTGTTATACTGCTGATTTGACTTTAGTCAGTTTTAGATTTCCTTTGGTTTATGATTTACTGGCTAACATGGCTGCTGATCATGCTCCACTGGAATGATACCATATGCTACACACATCACTC